TTTTTTTTTTTTGGTACCGGGGATCGAACTCAGGACCTTGCGCTTGCGAGGCAGGCACTGGAACCACTGAGCTAAATCCCCGGCCCCTATAAGTTACTTTTTTATACTTAATTGCTACAATATATTATATAGTAATGACTACATCAGTATAATTCCCCAAGAAAAGTTTTTTGTGTATCAATAGTGATTTCTTCTTGCTAAGTGGTTGTAAAGTTGTGCCAGTTTGTTTAGCCACTTACCTACTGAAGGACATCTGGTTTGTTTCCATTTGGGAGCTATACAAAGAAAGCTGCCATGCACATTTTTGTACAGGTTTTTGTGTGAACATAAGCTTTCATTTCTCTGAATAAATCTTCAGGAATGCCGTTACTGGATTGAATAATAACTATATATTCAACTCTAGGATAGTGCCAAGGGCTGGGGGTATAGCTCAGTGTAGAATGCTTGCCTGACATGCTTGAGGCCTTGGGTTCAGTCCTCAGCACTGAGAAAAAAACTAAAAACCACAAAAAACTGCCAGGCTAGTTTCCAAAGTAGTTGCACCATATTACATCCCCACCAGCAAAGTGTGAGGGATCCAGTTTCTCTGCATCCTTCCCAGCCCTTGGCACTCTCCATACTGTTGAAGTTAGCTTTTCTAATAGCTGTTTCTCATCATGACTCTAATTTCCTGTTCCCTAATGGCTAGTGATGTGGAATATCTTTTCATATGCTTATTTGTGTGGCATGTTTTGAGGTGGAAAGTCTGGGGTTGTGTTTCCTGTATGGGGACCCTGAGGGAGATGGCTGACCTTGGCCACTCCCTGTGGTATCCATATTCCTCTTAGCTCTTGTAGGAGGAGGGAAAGGTAGGCCCAGGTGTGATTTGACCTCATGGTGAGGACTTGGGCTCAGAAGCTTCAGGGTGGGCTCTAGGAGGCAACCTTGGGGAGAGTCTCAAGCCTCCAGTACCAGGTTAGACAGCTCCTTTCCTTTTATCCATATCTTCAGACACATTTCATAAAACCAGCCTTTGGAGATGGACTCATTTAGGGTATTGTAAGGAAGTTCTGAATCTTGTCTCACAATTGCTGATAGTGTAACCCAAGCAAAGAGGACCAACCTAGTCACAATGTCGGTAAAATATTACCCTATTTTTTTTTTGGAATATGTAAACAACTGAAGTTGGGAAGCTTGAGTGGTCCCAAGAGGCCCAGCATGCATGCAGGACCTTGTCTGGGTTGGCTGGGGAAGTGTGGGGAGAGCCATCCCTAAGTAATGATGGCTCCCTCCACCCTGACTCACCTTCTCCCTGACTTTGACTGTGGACATGAAGATGCTTGAGTACATCTGAGATCAGGGGCAGGACATATGAGCCAGGAGCCCTGAGGAGCCAGAGCACACCCTGGAGTGCGGAATGCTCACTGGTCTGGGCAGGAGGCAGGAAGTCAGACTTACAAAGTGAGGCTAAAGTGAACCCTCTAAGGCAAGGATCCTAAGAGTAGGATCACAGTTCCCATGGATCATGAGGAGCCTCCTGGCAAACAGCACACCCCAAACATAGCTCCTTTCCCATGTTCTCCGGGGGAATGATACACCCATCCAGAAGATTCCCTTTTTACCCATGACTAAATCCTCTCACCTGTAAACTACCGACTAAATTATTAAAGATTACCCAAAGAGAGGGTACTCATGAAGTAAAATGAAAGCACTGCTAATGTTTATTGACCACCACCACTGTGATCTTGAGTAACATATTTAAAATTTGATCCTCTATTTCATCATCTGTAAAATGGGGATAGTAATGGTTCCAACCTTCACTGAGATATTGGGAAAGTTAAAGTGATTAAGACAGTGCCTGCCCAGAGCAAGTATGGCAGAAATGTCAGCTGTCCTTATGACTCAAGTGTGAGCAGCCTCAGCCATTAACATTTCTGGACACATTGCAAGGGACAACTGTGAGCGCCACCTGAAGGGAGTTGGAATTCCTGCAGTTGTGGAAGCTGGTATTACTGGGCCTCCTCAGGGCTGCCTTGAATGGGAAGATTTTATTGCTGATGTTCTTCCTATGAAATGATAAATTACTGTTAGCTTTGGTTCACTGTTAGTGACATCATTCATTGGAAGTGATTTGGTAAATTCTACAGGGTACAATAGTGCATATTTCCACAGTATGATTTTTTTTTTTGGTTCCGGGGATCAAACTCGGGTCCTTGCACTTGCGGGGCAGGCGACAGAACCACTGAGCTAAATCCCCAGAAAGAATGATTTTTTTTTTTTTTGAGACAGGGTATTGGTTCGTAGTCCGGGCTGACCTTGAACTCGAAATCACCCTGCCTCAGTCTCCCACGCTCTGGGATTATAGACATGTGCCTCCATGCACAGCCACGACCCAGTTTTTTGTTTTTTGTTTTTGTTACAGGGATCAAACCCAGGGCCTCTAGGCAAATGCTCCATCACTGAGTTATACTCCCAACCCCACAGTCTAATTTTTGGTTTGGGGGAGGGTTTATATCTTTTTTTGTTTTTGAAACAAGGTCTCACTATGTAGCCTAGGCTAGGCTTGAACTCACTGTGTAGCCCAGGCTGGCCTCGAATTCACAGCAATCCTCCTGCCTCAGCTTCCCAAGGGCTGGAATTATAGGCCCCAGAGTCTAATTTTTAACAACATATTCTAATAGCTAGATTTAAGTCAGCAGTGTGTGTGTGGTTTAATCATGGATCATCTTTACCCTCACAGTTAATGGTGATACATAAATGTCACCATGATCCTCCAAATAGTTTACTTTTTTCAACACTTTTTTTAAATGAGTTCCAAATTACTGGAGACCTTGTGCATGGAAGGCATGGGTCTAGAGCCTGGATGTGGCTCTGCTGTTCAGGTCCATGGGAAGTGATGGAAGTCTCTCTGGGAGGCACTCCAGCATCCTAGTGTGGTGGCTACTGTCTTTGGGCTTCTCTTGTGAATCCCAGCTCCATTCTGTCCTCTATCTCACACCAGCTAACCTCCTTATGGACCCCTAGGAGTCAGTGGGGCAGAGTACTCACTCTTGAGCATGCACACACACACACACACACACACACACACACACACACACACACACACATGGCTTAGGACCTGGCTTCTGGACATCTCTAGTATACCTTACCTGATGGACCACACCCCATTCTAATCCATCTTTTCTTCTGTACTTGAGGACACTGCTAAGGAAACAGAATCCTGGCTAGGCCAGAGTGAATCCTTTCTGCCCAGGCCTTAAAAGACCTGACATTTGTACTAATAATATATTTATTTGTACTGAATATATATATATATATATATATATATTCATTATATATCCATCAGCTACAATAGCCTATATCGGCTGATTGGGTGACTGAGGAAGCTGGGCTCAGAGAGGATGAGCAACCTGGCTACAGTGCCAGGCCCAAGCCAGAGGAGCTTCCTGTTAGGCTCTGATCAAAATGCTTGTTGGTGACCTAACCGAGCTAGTGAACCAACCTGGCTCCCTTCATGGCCCCTGCAGATGCCAAGGGGACCATACGAGAAATCGTTCTGCCCAAGGGCTTGGACCTGGACCGACCCAAGCGGACCCGCACATCCTTCACTGCCGAGCAGCTGTACCGCCTGGAGATGGAGTTCCAGCATTGCCAGTATGTGGTGGGGCACGAGCGCACCGAGCTGGCCCGCCAGCTGAACCTCTCTGAGACCCAGGTAAGAGGCCAGGCCCGGGCCTTGCTCCTATCCTAGCATCCTGAAAACACTCTGGGGACTGAGGCTGTGGGCTGCAAGAGGAAACTGTACTTTGGAGGATCTCAGACATGGATGATGGAAAGACTTAAAGCTACAGGTGAACCACAGCAAATACAGTACTGGCCAGGGTACTGTTAAGTGCCAAGGGGAGGGGGCCTTCTGGGAGCATCAGGTCCCCTGCAGAAGATGGGAAAGGTCAGAGAAATAGGGGACACTCAGGGTGGGTGCAGGGAGTGGGTTAGGGAGATGTTGGCAGGTAAGAGGAACCTTAAGAAGTGATGGTAAGGGGTTGGCTTCTGGGGCAAGGCTGGGCATAGGAGCACCTCTAGTCCCAGCACAGCACAAAACAGATTCTGAGGAGAGGTGAGACATGACCCAGGTCACCTCTCACTTCCCCAGTCTGGGCCCTTTGTCACTGTCCAACACTTTTCCTCCATCTCAGTGTGCCTTGGTGCCCCGTGTGCAGAGGAGGGATCTGGACACCCCCTTTACCCAGGAAAGGCTGGCAGCTGCTGTTCTGCAGGGATAGGCCATCTCCTTGGACTTGGCTTCCTCTTGTTGCCACCATAGAGCTCCCTCTGTCAGCTGTGCTCAGCCTGTGGCTAAGAAGCTGGGCTTGTGTCAGAGAGGAGGCTGCAGTGGCTGGGCCAGACCAGCACTCCTGGGAAGACAGGGAGATTGCCTCAACCCTCAAGGCTGAGGGAGCACCTCAAGAAAGGTAGAACCTACCCATTCTCTGTGCCCTTCTTTCTCCAGCTCATCTAGTTTTGTCCTAAAATCCCCCAGAAACTGTGCTCTCCAGGTGCTTCAGATGCCCCCAAATCAGGAGCTTCTCAGTACTCATCCATCCTTTGCCATGCACCCGACGCCTCATCCAGCCTTGGCCCTTGGACATCAGCCCAAGCCCCTGCTCTGCCAAGAGGCCTTCCCTTCCCTAAGGCTCCTTGTCTTCATCCCAAGAGACATTTTCCATGAACCTTAAGTGTGTGTTTGTGTGTTGTGATGATATCAACTAGTATGTGTACCCCAAGGATAGGAACGTGTTTGAAGGGCATGTGTCCTCTTCAGGGACCCTGAAGGAGCTCTGAGCCCAGCTAGGCACACAGTGGGCCCTTGATGAATCCTCACTTCCCTCTGACAGCTCATGCCCTGCTTTCTTCCCTGATTCTGGCATCTAGCAATAGGATAAATAATGTACGGCCAACAATGACTGAGAGCTTCCCATGGGCCAGACCTTGTTCTTAGGCCTCCCGTAACCTAACTAGTTTGGGTCTCACCACAACCTTGTGGGATCGGTGAGGTGTTCTGACACCAAATGGGGCTGTGTCCCAACACCTCTGGCAGCCAATTCTCTGACACCAATTAGATGTCCAACAATTCTATTCTGACACTGATTCCCAGAGTTAGCCCACACCTCAAAGGTCAAGAGTTCAGTCTCACAACACAGTGCCACTGCACATACCAGTCACAAATCCCAGGTGCCACCTGCACTTCTGACCGAATAACCCTTAATTAGGGGCTTCCTGTTCCCTTCCTCACAGAGCAGGAGAAAACACTTGACTTACATGTGCTTCTTTATCACAAAGGACACAAGTTAGGACCAGCCAAGCAGAGGATGCATGGGGCAAGGGAGGAGAAAGAGCCCTCCCTTCTCCAGTGTCCCAGCCTCCGAGCACTTCCACACAACCTCCAGCCACCTGCCCCTGAAAGTGAGGGGTGCTGAAAATTCCCACCCTGTGACCAAGTGTTTTCTCTTTCTGGGACCAGATTTTATCCTGAAACTATCTGAGTATCCAGAGTCACCTCATTAACATAAATTCAAGTGTATTGGGAAATGGCTCTTTATGAGTAACAAAGACACTCCTTTCGCTCAGGACACTCCAAGGGCATTGGGAGCTCTGTGCCAGGATCCAGGACAAAGACCAAATACTTTTTTATTATACTATAATAGATCTGTATTCAGAAGGAAACTGAGGCACAGAAAATTTACAAAACTTGCTCAAGATTTAAAGCAGGCACACTCATTAGCTCATTTAATCTTAGAAGAGTTGGCTTTGTGGATAGTATTATCCTTACTTAAGAAAATTGAGCCTCAGGGAGATTAAGTTGCCTAAGATTATTTAGCTAGAATTCCATGGAATTGTTAGTATATTTATTCATCCATACTCTTGTTCAAAAATACTGTTGAATGCCTGCTATCCATCAGGTACTGTTCTGAGGCACTGAGGTTACAGCAGAGACCAACACAGACTAGGCACCTGCTGTTTGAAGCTTACATCTATGGAGAGAAAGACAAACAGCGCTTGAGAGTGATAAGTACTATGAGGGACATGAAATAGGGTAGTGTGATAGACTCAGAGGAAATCTTTCATTGAGATGGTCAGGGAAGGCCTCTTTGAGGAGATGCCACTAAACTTACACATCAGTGACAGGGAAGAGATGACCAGAGGAGGAGGCAAAAGAGAAGTCAAAGGACCAGGGATTTAGCTCAGTGGCACTGAGCCTGTCTCACAATTGCAAGGTCCTGAGCTTGATCCCCAGGACCGAGAGAGAGAGAGAGAGAGAGAGAGAGAGAGAGAGAGTCAAAGCAGAAGGTAACCTGGGAGTGAGACCTGGCATAGAATGTTCTAGAAGTGCCAGAGGCCAGTGTGGCTGGAGTTGGAGCAAATTATGTAGTAAAGCCTTAAAAGGAGAATGACATGAGATGATTGGCATTTCATAGGAGTCACTCTGGCTGCCACCTGGAGTATGGATCACAGGGGACAAAGCGGACCAGTTAGGGGCTGCTGACATGGTGTCTTCTTAAACAGAGTGGTAGAGGAGAGAAGCAGAATGATGTGAGATGCACTCCATCCTCTGTGGGTTACTAGCACAGGGCAAGGGAAAGAGAGTGGTTTGGCTTGAACACCTAGCGGGGTGGTGAGACCCTTTAGGAGTTGGGAAATTCACAGGAGCTGGACAGTGGAGCAGAATCAAGAGTGTTGACTTGATTAGTTCTATTTTCAATCTAATGGAGATGTCAGGAAGGTGTGTCAGACGTTTGTGGGGGGGTGTTTTCTCTGATTTATCTGAGAGTCTTCAGCAAGGCTTTTTTGGGGAAAAGGATGAGAGATTCTTTTGAGTGTGCTCAAATAATCAATGGACCACTAAGGGATTTTTTTTAAAAGGAGGCCTGATTATTTGGAAATTCAAGAGGAACCATGGTGCAACCTGGCTCAAGAGAGTATGAAAGTGCACAGTTCTTTTGGACCTGAGGGCCCAACACGAGGGTATTCTCAGATCTTCTCTCTGGTGCACCACTAAAGCTGTGGTCCCTGTTTGCCAAGTGTCATCATGAGCTAACTTCTGCCCTGGACTTGCCCAGGCCCCATAGCTGTGCTGAAGAGGAGGGCACTGAGAACAGCAGGATTTTCTTAAGGGCTCCCTCCACCCAATCCTCACCACCCCCACATCCACCCAGGGACATGTGCTGAATGCTCCTCTCAGTAACCAAGTCAGAGAACAGGAACAAGTTCACTGGATTTTGGAAACCTCCTGATTTTAGAAACCTTTTGATAAACTTTTTCACCATGATTTGTTTAAAAAAAGAAAGTTGGGTGTTTGGTTAAAGCAATGTGTCTCGATGTATGGGTCATGGAACTCCCCTGGGTTCATGATAAAAACAGATGACTGTGCCACCTCAGCCCAGAGATTCCTGATCAAATGCCTAGAGAAACTATATATTTTTCCATCCAGATGAAGCTAATGCTCAGTAATGTCTGAAAATCACTTGATGCTGGCATGACCAAATCTAACTAGCCAATGTGGCAGACTTCACTTTCTGCCAGGCATTTTACATGATCATCTGCCCCTGGAGTCATCACAGCAGACCTCTTAGGAGGCATTAATATGATCCCTGTTTTATTGGTGGGGAAACAGAGACACCAAGAGGTTAAGAAACTTGCCCAGTATTGTCTAGCTAGTCAGAGGAAGAACCAGGATTGAATCCAGGGCTCCCTGACCTCAGGATCTTCTCACTATATTCTTTGCCACTTCTATGAAAATACCCTATAATCCTTGCTGGCCTACCCATGTCTCCCACTACTAGTATTGGAGAGCCAAGTGGGTCAAGATGGAGTTTTATTTACTTTTCTTTTTTGGAGAGGGTGGGTACTGGGGATCAAACTCAGGTCCTTGTGCTTTCGAGGCAGGTGGTGGAACCACTGAGCTAAATCCCTGGCCCCTATTTACTTTTGTTTTTCAGCACCTAGCAATGCGCAGTATGTACCAAATACTTGATCTTTGTGTGTTGTATGAACAAATGACCAGCGTTCCAGGGTCAGAGCAGGAAATAAGAAAAGATGTAGCTGTGGAGGAAGGAGAGAAGAGGGGCTGTCTCAAGGTCCTCCTCAACCCTCACCCCTGCACCCCTTGCCCCAGCTGGTCTGGAAAACTTTGGCAGGTCCAGGGGATAGGCTAAGGACAAACTGCTATGTCCTGACATGGACTGCATCACTGTCTTGCATAAAATCTGCTCCAGCCCATCAGCAATTGTCCTCAGCCCCATGCTCCTTGCCTCTGCCCAGATGGCTTCTTCAAGAACAGTAGGATAGATAGTACCTTCTTAATGCAGTTTACAAAGCCCAAGGCCATCCTAAACACTCAGGTACCACTGGACTCAGATTCATATGTTCCCATGGTCACAGGAAGCAGTCTTTACAAGATTATTGCCATTTCCAAATGACCAGTGAGTCTTTGAATCTAACACTTATCATGAGCTCAAAGTATATGATGGATAGCCTCCCCAGCCCTCAAAACCATGCCCCTTCTCTGATGTGTAGCCTTGGTCACAGTCTGGCCCAGAAAGGGATCAGAATGTGAAGCCACCAAGCACTCACTGAATTCCAAGTAACTAAGATGGCATTCTGAAGAGAAGCCATCACAGAGCACTCAGAAAATGAAGGGAGAGTTACGCCCCAGAAGTGCACTGTACTTCATGATAGGACTGTGGCCCTGTCACCTTGTGGAGTCAGCCAGGAGTGGCTTCCTGGAAGAGTGACTGGATAGAGCCTTAAAGGGCTGGTAACTTTGGATTCAGGTGAAACTGAAGGGTCCCTAGAGGAGAAGGGTCAGCTCTGAGCCCTTATGCCATCAGTTTGTCTCATGTTTGCTTAGCCTTATGAACCAGCTCCTAGGGACCATGTGGTTGATGGTAGGAAGTAGAGAGACAGGTCTTCTAATGTCTTTGCTGTCGGCTGGCATACTCTGTGTCTTAAGGGGTTGCACAGCTGCTCTAAGTAAGTAATTTAGGACTCTCCCACCCTGGAAGTTGACAACAGCCATAGCATATTGGACCCACCCACTGAGCTTTCTAAACAGTTCCAATCCCTCAGCCCCACTCTCTAGAAATTCTGATCAAATGGGTACCTGGACATCAGGATTGAGAAGAATGCCCCCAGGTTGTTCCAGTGCACAGCCAGGGTTAAGAATCCCTGGCTAGCTCTGGAACAGCAGCAGATGACATACCAGGTCTCAGCCCCTGATCCACCTGCCCTCTCCTTTCTCCTCCCTTTCCAAGGACCACCTGCCCAGGAGACTGCCAAGCCCAGTGCCAGCCACACTCACCTTTCCTAGCTACACCCACAGCTGCACAAAGGAAGGGTATTTTGAGGAACAGCACCTTCTACATGCTTTGTCATTCCATATTAGTCACACCTCTTGTCACTGCCACTTCCTTGTACCTAATTGCCAATTGTTGGGAGTGGGTTGGTGCCCTCCTTACGAAACCCTGTCCTTCCAAAGGTCAGGCACCATGACTTCTGCACCACCAGAGTGGCTGGACCTTTGAGGTCCTCTGAAGACTGAGGGAATAAGCAAGCCCTCCCCATACTTTCCCTTTGGGGCCCTCCTTTTCCTGCTAGCACATGCAGCCCCAGCTTGGGCAAGAAGCTCCTGGCATGTGAGTCTAAGAGCTTTGATGGTGACAGTACTACCAAATAGTCTGATGTATTTGCTAGCTGGTGAGCGAATGCCAATCTTCTTCCCCAAGGCACTTCCAGGGCCTACACATGATCTTTTCTGAGCCTCTGACTTGCCTTCTGTGGGGGAAGCGCTCCCTCCCTCTCAGAGACAGAGAAATCTCTTGTTGCCCCAGGTTTGCAGCCTCCAGGGAACTGTCTGCTTCTAGTCTCCCTTTTTTCATGCAGACTAGGAAGGAGCTGTGAAGCTGGGCTATAGTGGCACAGCAAGGTGTAACACCTTTCGGGGATTCCAAAGGGTCTCTACCCCCCTTTTTTGGGCAGCACTCTTTAGAAAGTGGGGGTACTTGATACCTCTTTGTTCTCAGCTTTGAGTGACTGTGAGAAGCCCTCTCAACACCATGCTACATCTTGACCCATTTGGTATTGTGTTGAGAAGCTTTGTCTTTATAGGGAATGGGGAAGATGGACCACTGAAATGGTGAAAGACCAGGCTGGTTAGGAAGATCTGTCACCATAGCATTTGGAGCCAAGGCTGGAGGCAGTGACAGAACTGTTAGACTGGTATCTGGCCCCTGCCATAGGCCTCATGTCTCAGAGGGTCCCACTTTGGCCTCCTCTGGCCATGTCCCTCCATATTGGGTGAGGACTCTATGAAGCCAAAAGGTCATGACCATCAGGGGCCCATGCCCACCCTCTAACCCACCCCCCAGGTGACAAGGATTCCAGAATTCCCTGCCAAGCAAGACTTCTAGTGCTTTCCTCTGCCTCTTCCGAGTCAGTCCTCCTAAATAACATCAGACATGGGCATTGTTCAGAACCCCAGGAAACACCCATGAGGGGTCATTTGTGCTTTGTGAGCAGGTGGGGGTACCCATATATGTGTGTCAGAGCCACAGCAGGCCCTTGCCAAAGGCTTCTATTTTGACTCTTTCCCTGAAGTGTTAGTGTTTGAACCGGAGACAGAGAGACCCTTAGAGCACTGGTTTTGTCACCTTAGTTCACCTGGTGAGCTATAAGACCATTAGGGCCTGCGTCCTGCCACCTCCATTTGGAGCTGATTGGGTGAGGTCAGCAGTGAAGTAGCTTTAAACAAATTCTTCAGGTGCCTCTGATGGTGCTGCTGAAGAGACAGCTGTCACCTCCAGGTCAGAGAGGACAAGGGAAGAGAGGAGAGTCTGCATGGAGGACTGGGAAGAGGCTTGTGCCCTCCACCCCCAGTTTCTACTTGGGTGGATGGAGATGGCTATGATGGAAGATGGAATGTGAGAGAGACTGATGTTTGAAAGAGTTGGCCTGAGCTATATGTGTCTGTCAGGATGGAGTTTAGGGCCCTTCTGGAACATCCTTGGGGTGATTCTCATGGACAATTGGATGCCTGGCTTGGACCTCAGTTCAGAGGCCTAGGCCTGAGGCCGAGCTGGGAATTACCAGCACATAAATAGTGGCTAAGTCCACCAGCTGTAGCTGTAAACTCCACCTCCATCCACCAGCCCACTCCTCCATTCTAGGCCAGGGTCGGTTTCAGCAATGAAGGGTTGGGTCCCTAATCAGATCACCTAGAGCAGGCTGGTTGTGGAAATGCCAATTTAATGACAATTTGACAATTTCGCTCTCTCTCTCTCTCTCCCTCCCTCCCTCCCTTTTCCCCTCCTTGTGCCCCTGCACCCGCCTTGCCCCCATCCACCACCTCTGCCCTGGCCCCACATACTTCTCCTTTTCTCCTTCCACCTGCCCTGCTTTGATTTGCTTGGCTTCTCTCCTCTCCTGACACCCTTTCCTCACCCTCTGCCCCAAGGTGAAGGTCTGGTTCCAGAACCGCCGCACCAAGCAGAAGAAAGACCAGAGCAGAGACCTGGAGAAGCAGGCGTCCTCCTCTGCCTCCAAGGCCTTTGCCACCTCCAGCATTCTGCGGCTGCTGGAGCAGGGCAGGCTGCTCTCTGTGACCAGGGCACCCAGCCTCCTGGCACTGACCCCCGGCCTGCCAGATCTGGCTGCTGGCCACAGGGGCACCTCCTTGGGTGACCCCAGGAACTCTTCTCCATGTCTCAACCCTCTGTCCTCAGCCTCGGCATCCCCCCCGCTGCCACCCCCTCTGCCAGCCATCTGCTTTTCCACAGCCCCGCTTCTGGACCTGCCTGCCGCCTATGAACTGGGATCCTCAGCCTTTGAGCCCTACAGCCGGCTAGAAAGGAAAGAAGCCAGTCCTGGTGGTGGTGGTGGCAAGAAAGCTAACACATAAGACTCCCACCCTTACGTGACTCTGAGTCCCCAGCACAGCACCATCCCAGCCTCCTGGGCCCAGAGGATTGCACTGAGCAGGTCCTTCAAGGAGGGCAGCAGCGGCAGCCCCCTCCCCACCTGTCCTCAGGTCAAGACTCGAACGAATGGCCTTGGTCCCACAGCTTGTGTGTGTGAGTGCAGTGTGTGTGTGCATGTGTGTGTGCATGTGTGTTGTGCATCTCTCACTGAAATAAAGGAAAACAATGACAAGAAGGGAAACAGTCCCTGCAGCACCACCTCATTCCCTTCCATTCCCATCCTCACTGCAAAGGAAAATGGCTTAAGAGTGAGGAGGACCTCAAATGGGACAGGGTAGAAACTGGGGCCACAGGGAGGTCAGGGCATCCACATCTGTGGCTCAGCAGGCCTCAGATTCCCACTCCTATGTGGGCATCCAGCCAGGTACTCCAAGCACCCAGTACCAATATCAGTGCTTTCTTGCAAGCTTCTCTTTCTAACTGAAAAATATTTGAGAGGGGAAAACAGCAAGTCCTTCAAGAGAATGAATGATGCAAGGTGAGACCAGGTCTGATGAGAGGAAGAAGGGCATGCCAGGTAAGCCCAGGCCAACCCCCAGTGTCTGGAGAGGGCCTGTCCTCAGTGAACAATGCAGCAGGAAGCACGTTCTAAAAAGCTTTTTGCTCAAGGTATTTTCGTTTAGCTTTTATTCTACAATAATTGTAGATGTATAAGAAGTTGTAAAGATAGGGCAGAGGATTCTTCACCTGATTTCTCCCAATGGCTGTACCTTCTAAAACTAGTATAATATCAAACCGGGAAATTGACATTGGTATTGTGTGTTTAGCTCTGTGTCATTTTGTCACCTGTGTAGAGTATAGAACCACGACACAATCAGGGTGCAGAATAGTTCCATCACCCTCATGCTGCCCCATCTAGTCACCTACTGCTGCCCTCAACAGAATTCTTTGACAAAATGGGAATTGTGTTAGAGGAACCAGAGACCTGAAATGGGTACTCAGCCAGAGGATGCAGGTTGAGGGTTGGGCCATTGGGAAGGAAAAACAAGCAGTCTGTTGCAAGCTGCTCTGAGAACACAGTTTCAAATTGGCTGCCTTGCTCAAGTCACCTGGAATGGGGTGCTGCAAGATAGGAATCCCCACAGCAGCTCCTCGCCCTTCTGCATAAGTGCTTACAATGTGGGAAACCTTGAGTCTGGAATGAGACATAGGGGTGCCCAGGTAACCTTGGGTTGGGGCCGTCCAGCCACCTCTGCATTTATTCTGCCTTGCTCACCACAGTTAAGCTATGCTCTGGCAGCCGTGGGGGAAATACAGCTGCTTTGGAAAGAAGGGGGCTCCTGGGAAGCAGCCGTGAGTCCTGTGTGGAACACAGGTGAGGCTCTGGGCATAGTTTGATCTGTAATTTCAAATATTTAGATATGCAATATGTGGACCTCCATTTGTACTCTCTGTCGCGGGCTGAGAATGTCAAGGTCCAAGGGTCAGACTGAGAAACCAGCCCTGCTTCTCAGAGGATTCTCAATAGCACGAGATAGGTGTAAGAAGACCCAGGTCTGATGGAAGAGACACAGACTTAGCTTGGAGCTCACACCAGTGGCAGCAACATGAGAGACCTGTCCTAAGGTAGGTGCTGGGGAATCCAGGAAGGCTTCTGTAGGAGGTAGCAGTGATGCTGACCAGGAGAGTATCCTCTACCGATGGTGGGAAAAGTCAGTGATAGCTTGGTGTAGGGCAAGGTGCAGAGTATTGTGTAGGGTAGGTGCAGAGTGGGAGACAGACAAGGAGAGGCCAGTCTGCCAGAAAGTGGAGGGAAACCAGGAAGACAGATGGGTGTGGGAGTGTTAAGACGGATTCACACTCATATGCACTGTGGGCAGAGGAACGGCCGAGCACAGAGGTCAGAGAAGCTGCATTCCTGCTCTGCCCTTCTCCCTCACCACCCCCCAGCTCCCAGGTAGCCAGCCACCTCCCAGGTCTGCACACCCTTCCTGTGGGGCAAGCTGCAGAGCTGAGCCAGCTTCCCTGTTTACAGTCAGCCAGGGGGAGGAGTGGAGAGGGAGTGGGAGGAGAGGGAAGGAAGGGGAGGGGTGGCCGCAGGCTCAGGCTGGGCAGTGTGTTCCAGCTCCAGCTGGACCCAAAGTCTTCGTGCTGCCACCAGCTTTCTAAGGCACCAACTCCTGCCGCCACGCACCATGGCTATGAAGGTAGACAGCAAGCCCGGGGGGCTCCCCAGCAGTGGCTCTGACCCAGGCACAGCCCGAGAGCACATGCAGGCAGTCACCCGAAACTACATCACCCACCCCCGAATCAGTGAGTATGAGCCCACAGAGGGTGAGGCCAGCGTGGGAGCTGCAGTGGGCCGTGGGCGTGGGCTCTGAGGTCCCTCAGCCTTGCTTCCTGCCTCAGGAGAAGAGGAAGACCAGACCTAGGGAGACTAGGGAGCTCTCTGTCCAGTGGGAGTGTCACAGCAGGGACAGCCTGCTTAAGGGGTCACCTGTGAAGGTGGAGGGGTGAAGGTGGAGGGGTGAAGGGCCCAGCCCAGGCTGACCCATGGGAGAGGGCTGAGGAGTAGCTGTCTTCACCTTGATCCTACTTCGGACACTTAAGTTCAGAGAGCACTCCCAACTGCCCCTGAGAGAGAAAGAGAGATCACGTATGTGTCCATGCTCCCATGAGAACTTGTGTGCAGATGTGTGTGTGTGTGTGTGTGTGTGTGTGTGTGTAAGATGCACCGCTCAGCACAAGCCAGTGTGTGATAAAGTAGACTTGGAATGACAGGTGTGGCGATGTAGAATATGTGAGCATTCTCAGCATGAGGAAATAGGTGACTGTGTGCTGTTAATGGTGCACACTGAGTGGGCCTCCTAGGCCGGGGTGTCTGTGTGCAGAAGCAAGTAAGGGCTGAGCCTGGAGAGTGTGTTCCCACCTTCACTGTGGGGGAGGAAATGTGTGACAGAGTGTGGGGGGGGGGAGTGGTGGGGTTGCTTGAACACACAGGGTGAAGATGAGTATGTGCTCGAATGTGATATGCGTATATGTTCTAGGGGGAAGCACATGTGAGCTCCTGGTTGGGCAGTGTCACTTGTCTGAGTGTGGCAGTGTGTGTAAAGTTAGGGTAAGGCAGTGTTGGGCATAGGAGCATGTACATGCCCAGGGATGCTGGGGTATGTCCTTGTAAGCTTCTTGTGGGCCTCCTATGCCTGTTCTGCAGGGGTGGGCCACAAGCCAGTGCCTGGGCAGAGAAACTGCTGAGGTACACAGGATCAAAGGGACCCCCTCCCAGTCTCCTTGTCCAAGGTCATTCTACCTGGCATAGCAAATTTGCAGACAGCCCAGCTCAGTGGAGTAAACCAGCCTGGCCAGCCCCAGCTAAGCAGAGCCAGAGGCTCCTCACAGGGAGTGTGGGGCAAGGGGAAAGAGCTTGACACAGCCACCTCTTCTCCCTCCCTCCCTGGGAAGCCACCTGGTGCCACCCAATTGCAGATGAGTGGGCAATAGCGAACTCAGCCCAGGGGCTCAGGGAGCAGAGCCCTGGGTATGGAGTGTGAGGCACCTGCTAAGGCCAGAGACAGGTGCTGAGGGGGAGTGCAGACCAGCTAAGGAGAAATGGAGCGAGTGGAGTGGGGTCAGGTTTCCCAAGGAGGCCCTGCAGGTCCTGTCTGTGGAGGTGGGAGGAGGATAGGAGCTCAGATTCCCCCTGCCCAAAGCTGGAGTTGCCAAGGACTGTAAATAAGCTGTGACCTGGCCCCAGCTGATCCAGAGCCCAGGAGTGGAGCCTGATCTGAGGAGTCAGACTCTTACCCCTTACCATGTGGTAACTCACCCGTGCAGACCAGCCCCACCCCACCTGTGAGTACAGGAGAGGTTACTGTTGGGCAGGGTGTGGGGTCTGAACCTACAGGTTCTGTTCTGCTTTTTGAGAATGCACCCTGGAAGGTAACCTCCAGGTACAGTTTCACCCCACCTGCCTCCCCCAGGCAGGACTGTGCAGGCCTAGAGCAGCCTCTAGCCAGTTCTCTCCCAGCCAGCTCCTTATTTACAGTCAACACCTGACATGTTCTGATCCAGGCTGGAACCCAGAAGTGATGGTGCCCCCAGGTTTGCAGGCCACGTGATGGCTGCATCTGGCCCCCAACCAGGCCAGTGTGTTCACATCCTGCAGCTGACGCAGATCCAAGCTGGGGCAGGGGGCAAATGCCTTCACTTTGCTGCACATGCCAGTGTCCTCAGAGGCAACACCAGCGGCCAACCTCCCTCTCACCCCTTGTTTCCCATTCCCCTCTGACCTCAAGTGACTAAGGGGTGTTTCTCCCTCGGGGATGCAGACAGGCACAGGACCAGGGAAGATCTGGACACTCTCTCTCTCCAGTTGCTACCCTCCATAGGCTGGAAGGCAGACTACTGCTCGTCTCTCTCTGCCTTCCTTCCCCAGCCTGACCTATCCTGGTAAGCTAGGCCCTCTCCTAGGCTGGCCAACTCTAGGGACAGAGTTCTAGACCAGAGGGCCCAAGCCCCAGGGCCGCCTTGGCCATGGAACGTGAGCCCAACACAGCTTGGGAACCCTTCCTTCTCCTCCTGTAGGAGAGGAAGAGCCAACACAATGGAGGCCAGAAGGTTGATGTTGTCATTGCAGTGGTGAAAGAAGAGTTGTCCAGAAAGGAGGAGCAGGGTGGAGTCAGGATGGAGATGAACACCAGCGAGTTCACCCTGGAAAAGAAGGACCCCTTTTGCCTCTCACAGAGCTAGAGTTGTTTCCCGAGGGTTTGGTGGGGAGGATGTGGCATGGAGCTTCATCTAGTTGCTTGGGCAGAAGACGCCAGCCTGGGGAAGGGGCACAGCTTGGGCAAAGGTTCAGAAGGATAAGGTGACAGCTGAGTTGGAGGGATGGAGCCAGGTGAGATACCCAGGAGCTTGAGTGCCAAAGCACTGGCTTGCCACCCAGCCTCAGTTTCCTCAACTGAAAGGGGAGGAAGCCACAGGGTCTTGGGCTGATTCTAAGAAGCCCTGGCTTCCAGCTCCTTCCCTCCCTCCCCTAATCTCCCCAGCTGGGAGGTGTGGACCGCTGCCCTGGGCCTGCCCCGACCCTGGCCTCACGCATGGGCGCCCCTCAGCCCTCTCCAGGGACGCTGCAAGTGTGGCTGGCCCAGCGCTAATTAGAGTGCTGTTTGGGACCCTGCTGAGCCTTTGACAGGGAAGGCAGCGGGGAGTTGGGGGCAGGGAGGCGGTCCACTGGTCCACAGTCCAAAGTGCAGCCCAGTGTCAGCAAGGACAACGGAAAAGGGTGGCGAGCATGGGGCGGTGGGTGAGGGAGTGCCCCTCAGGTCATCTGAGCCAGTCTTCTGCTGCAGCTCGGCACCCCCTTCCCCTCCAGGGCCAAGGAGGACCCCCAGGGTTTGGGGGTGGCCATAATCCCTGAGCACCACAAGATGCTGTCCTGAACTGTGGTGTGTCTTGGGAGAAGTCAGCAGAATTTCTGGGCTTCAGTTTGCCTCTCCATGCAACAGACACAGTCAGAGTCTGGGGTGCATGCAAACAAAAGGCCCGACTGCCAGTCAAGGACATCTTTGCTACTTAGCCACCACTTTGTCTGTTCAAACTGGACAGCTCTAAGGAAAGATCTGGTCTAGTCTCAGAGGAGAGACACAATTCCTCTGGGATATCAGTTTGCAGGACCCGAGGGTGCAGAAGGCGCTTGGAGACAAGGCCTTGAAGGCTGTGAGTAGTCCAGAGTTAACCAGGAACAGGCACATGAGTGGGTTATCTGCTGAGAAGATTGAAGGCTGGGGAGTGATGTCCTCAGCAGGCCACTCCACGAATCCCACCTACAGCCAGGCACTCAATGCTAAGGCCCCAGAAGGCAGGGCCTACTAGAGGCTGGTATGCTAAGGCATGGGACTTAGAGACCTCATGCTGGTCACTGTGTGGGCTGGGCTGGGGCAGCCACCAACCCCCCACCTCAAAGGAGAATGGAGAAGCTGGCGCCCAGAGGGCCAGCAAGCAAGCACTTAGCTGCAGCCCCTCCTCCTTTCGGAGCAACACTTCCTCTAATCCGTATCCTCCATCACCATTGTCCCGTCCCCCACTCCCCAGGTAGAGTTGTTGGATGTCACAGTTTCACAGTTAATGGGGATTTCATGTGACAGAAGCTGTGAAGTGGGGGCGCTGGCTGTGAACTGAAGGGAGGAGATGGAACTGGAAATGCTTCCCTGGGGCTTTCTGTCTTGGGGCCCCACCCCCTCCCACAACACCCTCTCTTCAAGACCACTCACCCTGCCTCTCTTCACCCCAGGTTTGCTGCTGTCCTCCCCTGTTTCAGCCCATTGGTGGGTCTGGCGTTTCTCTACGGAGCAGCAAGGTGCCGGCTCTTCCACAGCGCTTTTAAACCTGGGGCCTCTCCTGAGGCCCCACCTGTCCCTGGAGGCACAATCCATTCCTCCTCCTGGCTCTGGGCTCCCCTGCTTCACTCCTTTCCACAGCCGGAACCCTAATGATCCAGGCAGTTTGATCACAACACCATGTGGACAGGAGACAGTGTGTGGTTGTTTGACGATTTTTTTCCTGCTGGAGAGGGTGATGCCCTGGCCTCTGTCCCCTGCCCTCCCTCTTTGGCGCTCTCTCTATGCCTACAATCTCCTCAGCATTAGATAGCCTCTTTCTAGTCTTTTCCACCTTGTCTTCAGGGGAAGCAGGCAGGAGGTAGGGGTGTGACCTTCAAGCCAGGCAACAGGACCCTCTTTTGGTTTGGGGGCTGGAAAGTGAGGCACACTCTGGTTCTGATGCGGGATGTGGGGATGAGCTGGAGGTACCAGTGAATGCTTCCCAGAATTCATCCACTAAATGCTTGCTGAGTGTCTGCCTTACCCTGCCAGTGGGGTTCTAAGAAGAGAGCACAGCAGTGAGCACAGAGGACACTGCTGCCGTCCTGGTTTGACCTATCTCCCTGCACCTGGAAGCCAGCCAGTGCTTGGTGCCCACCACTGCATCACCCTCGCTGTGTTCTCCCAAGGCACCCAGGGAGGGAGAGGCACTTTCTCACCTCTGAGCTGCTCAGCAGGGCTACAAGTGCCCTTTCCCCACCCCCAGGGGGCTGGCTGGATAGCGCCAGTTGGTGCTCAGGGCTCAGCTCCAAAGGCTCTTCCCAGCAGGCACTATGGTGCATGCCTGTAATGCCAGCACCTTGAGAGGCTGAGGCAGAAGAATCACAAGTTTGAGCCCAGCCTGGCAACTTCTTAGCAAGAACTTGTCTCAAAAATTTTTAAAAATAGGGCCAGGGATTTAGCTCAGTGGCACCACAACTGCCTGGCAAATGCAAGGTCCTGAGTTCCATCCCCAGCACCAAAAGAAAAAGAAAAAGAAAAAAATAATAATAAAATTTAAAAATAATAATGAATTTAAAAGGGGCTGGGAATATAACTCACTGTGAAGGCCCTGGGTTCAATCCCCAGTACAGTGAAAAGAATAAGAAAAAGAAAAAAGAAAGAAAAAGGGGGGGACAGGGAGAGGGAAGGACAGGAGAGGAGGAGGAGCAGGAGGAGGAGGAGGAGGAGAAAAGAAAGGAAGTGAGGGAAGGGGGGACCTTCTGGCAAGGTGCTCCCTTCCCTGAGCACTCAGTCTGGTCTCTTGGCCCACCTCACTCACTCATCCTGTTCTTTCCCTTCTTAGCCCCTACTACAGTTTGGAATTCTAATTTCTATCCCTCATTTTATATTATAGGCTCCATGTTTTATTTGCCACTTTTATTCACCTAGCCTGGTACAAAGAAGGCATCCAATACACATGACAAATGTGGTCACTCATGCCTGTAATCACAGCCATTGGACAACTGAGGCAGGAGGGTCACAAGTGTGAGCCCAGCCTGAGGAACATACCAAGACCCTGTCTCAAAATAAAACAATAAAAAGTCCTGAGGTTATAGTTCAGTGGTAGGGCATTTGCCCAGCATGTGCGAGGCCCTGGGTTCAAGCCCCAGAATGGGGGGGGGGGGATGCTCCAAGAAAGGAAGGGAGGAGGGAAGGAAGGAAGCAGGTCACTCAGGGAAAGGGGAATGGGAGAGAAGGAGCCCAGGGTGGCCTGGGGTGGGGCAAGTGGGCAGGGCAGGACCTCCCCAGGAGAGGAGAGTGCACCCCACCTCCAGTGGAATGTGCTGAGTCACTTGGATGTAGCAGTCCAAAGGCTCCTGGTGGCCTCCAGAGAAGGCAGGCCCCTGAAGCCTAGAGCAGAGAGGGAGGAGGAGTGGGTGGAAGGTGGGGAAGGGGAGAATCAATGGAGACCATGCTTATAAGAGCAGGTCCTGGAGAAGGACTGGGACTTAAGGAGTGTTTTTCAAGACGGAGATACCAGAGCTTGCTTGATGGGAAGAGCACAGGGGTGGTGGGTGCTGACTCTTCACTCCAGGAGGAGTCATCTCTAGGTCCTGGATCTGGGTGCAGGGGAAGCAGCCTGCCTAAGATAGAAGGTAGAACCTCCTTCATGGAATAGGGAGGAAGGAGAGAGGGCAGCTGGGGTAGAGGAGTCAAAGGTAGATTGAGGGCAGGGAACTGAGAGAGCACCAAAGACCAGCAGAACTGAGCTTCGAGTCTTCTCCTAAGGCCTGAGTGTTTCAGTCTTTGTACTTACGGGACCCCCGCAAAGGTCTGTGTAAGAATACCTTTCTTGGTCTGTCTGCCCAGGCCCTGTCCTGGTGAAAGGAACTTAGACTAGACAAAAACAAGGGAAGCCCTGACTGAGGAGGACTTGGGCAAGGAGCTTTTGATTTTTCTCTGGCAACGGGCAGCTTGGGACCAGGCATGATCAGAAGCTAGAGTAAGGCCACACCAGGAGCCAGGGTGGTCTCATGAAAAGTACAAAGGAGGGCCCAGCCCTGGCTCTGCCACAACATCTGGGTAAGCTTTCCCCTTTCTGGGCCCCATCTCCCTGTCTTCCCTCTGAGGTCTGCCAGCCTGAGGGACCTAGCACCTGCCCATCTTGCCTTGCCGAGTTCCTTCATCTCAATTGTGGCTTTAAGGAGTATCACTTAAGAACCCAGGGAAGGTTACAGTACCTCACTGCTGTGGGCAAGGGACCATCCAAGGTCCCTAGCAGAGCCAAGGCCAGACTTCCTGGCTACCAGTCCATGGCTTCTGTTGGGGCTAGCAAAGCTAACCTAATCCCACCTGGGGAACTGAGTTCATGTCCCGTCTGTGGGTCTCTCCAGCCACTAGGAACATGAACATTTCTGGGTTTTTTGTTTTGGGGGGTTTTTTTGGTACCAGGGATTTTTTTTTTTTTTTTTTTTTGAACTCCGGAACCACTGAGCTAAATCCCCGGCCAACCGTGAACATTTCTTCCTGCTTCCTGTCTACCCCCCCACGCCTCCCACCCCAGCACCCAGTGAGCCAGGGAATCCCAGGAGCCTCCCTGACTGGACCCTGTCTGAGCCTGGTGGGGAGAGCAGAAGCTCTGTTTAGTTTCTCTCAAGCCAACACAGCCCCCTTTCCCTCCCACAGTGCTCAATCAGTGTGGGGTGAATGGAGGGAAATGTGGGGCTGGGGAGGGGCAGAGGAGGGCACTTCTGGTCCACAGCTGGGGGCCAAAGGCCTTTGGAAAATGTTGTGGGGGGGTGCTTGGGGGGGGTGGAGGCCAGAGGGGAAGCAGCTCGGGGAAGAGAAGGGCATCTGCCAGCTGGGGAGGACTCTTCCCTCGCCAGCCCTCCCCCAGCCTCCTGCAGGTGTCCAAGGCAGTGGGGGCCCTGTGGGCTGGGGCACGACCCTTACAGCAATGGTGGCTGGCCCTGTCACAGCTAATGACCCTGATGGCAAAGGCTGGAGAGGAGGTAGGGGGTGTGTAGAGGGAGGGAAGGCAGAGAAAGGATGCCTCTGTGTGTGTGTGTGTGTGTGTGTGTGTGTGTCTGCATCCGTCCTGGAGCAGAACTTTCACAGGTGAAAGTGTGAGGTGAGACTCTGACCCCCTTCCTTCCCCTCCCCAAGCCTACAGGACAGTGTGCAGTGTCAATGGGCCCCTGGTGGTGCTGGACCAGGTCAAGGTAAGACTCCTCTGGCTCTTCCCTGGTCCCAAGCCAACTAACTCCCTGAACTCCCCTTCCCCTTACAGGATTTATTCTAAACTGTCCTGCCTTTGGGTGACCTGGAGGCCTGCCCTAGTCTTCCTCACCAGTCACCCACTCCCACATTCTCCTTCTCTTTCTATGTCTCCAGGCACCCCAGGTTTCCCCTTCTGGCCTGGTGGCCAGGCCCATTGTGCCTAGCTTCTTCAGCATGGAATGGAGTCGCCTAGCGGCCTCAGAGACGGGGCTCTTCCCACCTTCGGCTCCCAGTGCGGGGGAGGAGACAGCAGCCGGTCAGCGCCAGCTAACTCCTCTCCAGGGCTTGATGGTTTCCAAAAGCCTCTGGACCATCTCAGTGTCAGACCAGCCACAGGGTGGGAAGTGGAGAGGGGCCAGGGAAGGAAACTCGCTGCTGGCTGTTTTGCAGCCCCTGGAACTGGCAGCCTCTGGCAGTACTTTGAGTCTTGAGATGGGGGACTATAAAGTCCTATAGGGTCCCACAGAGATATGGATTACTGCTCTCCTCCGGCTTCCTGCCTCACCCCAGAGAAGCAAACTGGAAACCTGGGAGCTGCCTGGATCCCTTGTCCTAGACCCCGCTCTGCCAGGGCCCAGGTTCCCTCAGCTCTCAGCCTCCTGCTGCCTTGTTAGGGCGCTGGTCTCTGGGTCCCTGCCTCTGCTTGCTCATCTCCTCACCACCCTGTAGCCATTAGGACCTGCTCCCCTTCACGTTGCATTTGCCTTCTCTGTGATGGTTCCTGCAGACTTTTCTGCTCACTCTTCTCTCTCGACCTTTCCCAGTTGGAAACCCACCTGGTCTCTGGAGGGAGCTGCCAGCCCACACCTCTGAGCCTTTGCACATACTTTTCCCTCTGCCTACTGGACTCACCTTCCTCATTCCCCTCTGGCTCATCCCAGGGCTGAGAGGTCACCTCCCAGATGCCTCTCCCTGTTCCTGGGCACTGAGCCTTTTCCTCCTCTCCACACTGCATCCATTCAGCCACCTGGTCACGATCTGGTCACGGGGTGCCTCCCATCCCTCCCCCACTCACACTGCATCTTCGTGCTGGGCACATTCATTAATCCCTGGCTCCAGGAGCCAAAAGAGATAGCACTTTTACTGCACACTCAGGCCGTAGTATAGTAGGCACTCAGTATATGTTTACTCATAAGAAGAATGAGTAAATCAATGAGACAAATGAATGAATGAGTGTTAGCATGACTAGATACAGACTTGTAAAAACCTGAGCCAACTCTGTTAAAGAAACCACACTTGGAAGCTGGGTGTGGTGGTGCACGCCTGTAATCCCAGCACTCCACATGCTGAGGCAGGAGGATCACTGTGAGTTCCAGGCCAGCCTGGGCTACACAGTGAATTCAAGGTCAACCTTGTCTCAAAGAAAATAAAAGAAACCACACCTACTAGAACACATATTTCAAGTTCAGACCCATCACAAGCACACAGATTTCAAGTTCAGAGGGCCATTGCTGCTTGGCTCATTCATTGTGTAAGGGACACCCTGGGAGGAAGCATGGCTCAGTAGTTAAGAGTGTGCACACTGGGCTCAGGGAGTCTGAAGACTTCGTAAATTTTTTTCTCATTTTAAATGCTTTTGTTGTGACAAAGAGCATGGTTTGGTTTTGAAATCCAAATTGCTACAATAATAACAATTTTATAAGACAAAGGTGGTGTATGCCTATAATCCCAGCACTTTGGAGGCTGAGGCAGGAGGATTGCCAGGAGTTTAAGGCCATCCTGGGCTACATAGTGAGTTCAAGGTCAGGCTGAACTACATAGTGAGATCCTGTCTCAAAAAGCCAATAAAAGTCTAAGAAAAAGATAATTCTGTGGTGAACATTTGATTTGCTCTTTTAAAAAAATTGATATATTTGTACTTCTTTATTGAGTAGAGCATTACAATTCAATACATGTGTGTATACAATTGTATAATAGTCAAATTGGTATAGTATTCCCATCCCCTCAACTAGTATCATTTCTCCAAGTTCTTCTTTAGCTGTTTTGGAACACATAATGAAGATTTCTTGTGTTAAACCCAGGTCTATCCGCTCTTTTTTTCTACTAGCTCCCTGCCAATACTAGACCAACAGCTTCAGCACCACCTGGGAACTTGTTGGAAATAACAATTTTGTGGGCTCCACTTCAGACTGCAGAATCAGAAACTCTGGGCTGGGGCCCAGAAGGCTGTTCTCACAGCCCTGCAGGTCTAAGAGCCATTTATCCAGGATTGTAAATCCCAATTCCCTCATTTATTAAGGATAATAGGGTTGGCTTGAGGATCAGATCAGAAAAATGTATTATTATTCCCCCCAGAACAGCTAGTAATAGCTCTGCCCTATGAGTAATGCTAATAACTCTCAGTAACATGAACAGTTGTGCCATCACTGTCCCGCCCCCGCACTCATGCTCGGAGCCATACCCACCAGCCTGTAGGAGAACCAGGGCAGTGTGGACAGCGGTACCTATGCAAGCGTTCATTTTCCAACTGTAGGATGGGGCTGGACAAGGAAGCAGAGATAGACTGAGGAACTGCAGCTCTGTGATTATCCGATGCACCACCAGAGACTCCTAGGTTTGCAGGGTAAGGAAAAGGATCGGCAGTACACAGCCTCATAAGTTCAGGGGAAGGGGAAGGCACTCCTATGGCCCCTCGCCACTGTGCCCACTGCCCCTTCCCCTCTTCTAGAGTGGCCAGGTCAAAATGCTACTAGTCTGTCTCTACAGCGCCACCTTCTGCCTGTATTGAATCGCACAGGCAAATATTCCTGCTTTCATTTTTCTCAGAAGGAAAAATGTATTGGGAAAGAATTAATGTAGATCGGGAGTTCTTAGCCAGGGCATTAGGCTCTTGAAACTGTGAGCAAAGCTTTGAAGGTATGCCTGTGGGTTTTTTGGAGGGAGTTTTCAGGTTCATGCGACTTTCCAGGGTTTGTGACTCTGAAAGTCTACATCTGTGATTTGTAGTGTAGAATCAACCCTCCTAGATCAATCAACCCCCCGTCTCTGTTCTCATAAGAGTACACATTCGCTTATGCTCTCAACAGCTCACATACTAACACACACTCACGTGCTCACACTCAGGATCTGGCTGACACCCACCTGAATGAGGGTATTCAAGAGAGATTTCACTAGGGCAGGGCTTCTCAAACTTGAGACAGATTTTTGGGCTCCCTTCACCAAAATTATGATGCAGCAGTGGGCTAGGGCCCATGAATTTGTTTGTTTGTTTGTTTGTTTGTTTCCAGTACTGGGGATTGAACCCCAGCCCTTTTTTTATTATTTGAGACAGGGTCCAGGCTGAGCTTGAACTTGTGATCCTCCTGCCTCAGCCACTCAGAATGCTGAGATTACAGGCCTGTGCCAGCCACCAATGTCTGCCTGGCTGAATATGCATTTTGAACGAGTTCCCAGGTGATGCACATGTTGCCCTGAGGACCACACTTTGAGAGCCACTGCTCTAGAGCATCTCCTAATTCCTATCTTCTGTGAGTCAAATAGTATTTGTAGTTGTTTACAGTTACAGCATTACCTTATTCGGCACCTGGAGTAAGCACCACCTTATCCACCTGACTGGATTCTAAATATCTATGGCTGCTTTCAAATACTATGTATCATCCCTGAGCCAGTTTCCAAAAGAGGGTTCCCATGTTGCCCTGGCCGTTCCTGGTAGAAGAACCTGTGGAGGCCAGCGCTACCTTGCACAAGCCCTAGCAGCCTTACTCAGGACTCCCAGTCCTCCCTGTGTGCACAGCAGCTCTCCTGGCTGTGGCCCTTTCTGGATGAGGACTCAGTAAAGCAACCTGTGGCACTGAATGATCCCACTTCCCTGCAATCTTCTTGGTAGCCAATAGGGAGAGTTGATAGGATCAGGCTTGCTCAGTCTGTGTCTGGGAAACAGGGCTCCTTAGAGCATAAACTCACTGTTGCAGAGTGGACTTGTCCCCTGGACCTCTAATAAGGAGGCCCTTCCCTTCCCCAAAGCACCCCCCATACCCATAGAGCTCAGCATTGTCTTCCTAAAGGATCTCAGAGTCTATACCTTGCACTCCAGGCATGGTGTAATGGGACAGGTGTGATGAGCCTGACAGTCCTGCACAACCCTCCCCTCTCCCCCGACCCTCTCTCACTCACATAAACTCACATAAAAATGGTCACTTTTCATCACCCCAATGCCCAGTTTTATTGGCCCCATTGCCTGATTTCTTTTGAGGACCCCTCTGACCTAAGCTCTGTCCAGCAGTTTTCCTCCTGGAATTAACAGCCCACCATCACCTCCAGTAGGGTGACAAATGCCAAGGCCAGTGGTGGTGGCAGATGCCAAAACAAAGTGGACAAGGAAGAGGAGCCAGAACCTTTTCCCTTTTTGCTTATATTCTTTTATTGGTACATTTTAGGTATACAATACGTTTACATTTATCATTGGGTGCTTGTACCTGTACATGATGCATCTTGGTTCTTATTTTTTCCCCATTCCTAGCCCTCCCTTCACCCCCTCCAACCTTCCGTATTTACAAAGACTTTGTTTCCATTTTTTCCTTTTCTCATAATTTGTCCTTTCTATTCTTTCCTTTCCCCTTCTCCTCCCACTTCCCCTACCCCTTTGGACCTTTTCTTCCTATTTCAAGTAGCCGGAACTTTTAACCATGGAGTTCCTTTCAAAGGCTCTCGCCTTTCTTGCTCTTGCGCGCCCTCTTGTGGCAAACCTAGAGATGGCTGGGCATTAGCCGCCCTTAACCGTTCTCTTAGGTCTCCCCTTGAGCGCTCACACTCCGCAGGGCCTGGAGGGTGGTTAGGGGAAGAACGGAGACACTTTCCTGCCATCCTCTTCACAAGGCAAGAGGGGCCCAAGCCAGAGAGTCCTTCAATGTGGTCAGTGCTGCAAATCCCCTAGTCTGAGGTTCCACCCCAGTGGGATGCCCTGGGGAAGTGGCCCCCATCCTAGTCACACTACACTGGGAAT